GGAGAAAAAAAAAATCTACAAACTTATCATTCTAATGCTTTGTGCTCTCTATTTTGTTTCTTCATAAATCATTTAATTAGTCTTGCTGCTCAATTGTATAGTTTTAGAGCAATAAATCATAAAGAGAAACGGTAGCTGGGAGGCGACGGTATCCTGTCTACTTTCTTGCTACCTTTCTAGCTCTGTTAAAAACATTGCTTCTGGCAAATGGTGAAGCTTTTGGTAATCCATCAATTGCGAAGCCTCCAGTCTCTTGGACTAACAACCACTCAGACTCTAGTTGGCAATCAGAAGACTTGACACTGAAACCTATCTTGGTCAATGGGGATTTTGTTTGTGGCTTCCACTGCAAAGTTGAAGAAAACAACACCTGCCTCTTTGCTATCTCCATCTTCAATTTCACTTCCATCTCTTACATGAATTCACAAATCGTATGGTCGGCTAATCGAAACAATCCAGTTGAACGTGGGGCACAATTGCAACTTTCCCAACAAGGGGATTTAACGCTGCAAAATGTTGATGGCACTCTGATTTGGTCTACAAACACAACAAGTAAATCTCTTTCGGGTTTGAAGTTAACTGATCAGGGTAACCTTATGCTGTTTGATGGAAACAATGAGATGGTTTGGCAGTCTTTTGATCATCCAACAGACTCTTTAGTTCTCGGACAGAGATTGGTTTCTGGGCAAAAATTGGTGGCAAGTATGTCTGACACAAATGGGAGTGAGGGTTTATATTCATTTTCAATTGATAATAATGGTTATTTTGTTGCTTCTGCGGACTTAGATGTTACCATAGTGTATTACAAATCCAACAAGTCTCAATTAAGTAGCCAAACGGGGCAGTTTTATGCTGAGCTCACTAACACAAGTTTCGGTATTGGTCTTTCACCAAAATCTGGAGTTCGTTTTATACAATTAGGCTCTGATGGGCACTTTTGGCCCTACAATGGAGTAGTGGATTGGCAAACGAATGATTTGTTTGAGAACCAAGTCCATGAATGTGATTATCCACTGGCATGCGGAAATTACGGAATTTGTTCGACGCAAGGATGCAGTTGCCCAACTTACTTCAGGCAGATAGAGTCTTTTCATTCAGGTTATTTTCATTCCCAGCGTTATACATGTTCTCCATATATTCCAATATCGTGTGAATTTACTTACCAGCAGAGTCTTATTGAGCTTAAGAATGTTGATTATGTTCCCGGAGTTAATTATCACATAACAGACACCGAGGGCTGCAAGCAAGCCTGTTTAGAGAACTGTTCTTGCAAGTATGTTGTTTTCCAACATAATAGTAATTTCTCATCATCTGGAAGGTGCTTTTTAATATCTGAAGCCTTTTCATTCAAGAGAGTGAATTCATATAACAATCAATCTGTGTTTATAAAGGTGCACAGCTCAAGTGTGAAGCCTTTCTTCTCTTACACTAACATCATCTCAGACTCTAGTTGGAAATCAGAAGAGTTGATACTGGAACCCATCTTTGTCAATGGGAATTTTGTTTGTGGCTTCCACTGCAAATCAAAAGAAAACAACACTTGCCTCTTTGCTATCTCCATCTTCCACTTCTCTTCCAGTGATTATCCAAATTTAAAGATGGTATGGTCGGCTAATCGAAACGATCCTGTTGGACGTGGGGCAAAAGTGCAACTTTCCCAGCAAGGGGATCTAACACTGCAGGATGTTAATGGCACTCTGGTTTGGTCTACCAAAACAACAGGTAAATCTGTTTCCGTATTGAAGTTAACTGATCAAGGTAACCTTATGCTGTTTGATGGAAACAATAACACAGTTTGGCAGTCTTTTGAACATCCAACAGACTGTTTAGTTTTCGGTCAGAGTCTAGTTTCTGGGCAGAAATTGAAGGCAAATTTCTCAGCCATAGAATGGAGGGAGGGTTTATATTCATTCTTAATTGATAATCTTGGTTTTTTGGTTGCTTCTGCGAGGTCAGATCCTAACCTAGTCTACTACCGTTCCGATGGGTCTCGATTAAGAAGCAAAACTGGGCAATTTTATGCTGAATTCAGTAACACAAGTTTTGGTGCTGGCCTTTCTCTAGGATCGAGAGTTAGTTTTATACAATTAGGCTCTGATGGGCACTTAAGGTCCTTTAGGTGGGTAGAATCAGGATGGAAGGAAGACGATTTATTTGAAAAACAAGTCAACAGATCTGATTACCCACTAGCGTGCGGAAAATATGGAATTTGTTCAGCGACAGGATGCAGTTGC